TGACCTGTCCATGTGGGTTTTCTGTAGACTGCTCTACTAATTGTTCCGTCCGAGCGCTTGGTAAGATAAACATCAAGAAAGTGGAATATGTTGGCCGTTTCAACTTCCGACGTAAAATGGAGCTTGGTTAAACGTGCTGGTCAGTGTTTGTAACGGTATATTCTCGTCAACTAATATGAAAATATCGTCAACGTAACGGCGATAGGATGGCAGGTCTTCTTTGGTATCACCGAGTTCCTGATTTTCCAATTTTGCGACGAATATGTCATCCAGAAGTCGGCCCAGAAGTGATCTCATTGCAACTCCGTCCGTTTACCTGTACATGTCCCCGTTGAAACTAAACTGAACGTTGAAGATACAGCGCAGTAGTAACTCTTTCAAGTTAGCCAATGAAATACCAATGCTTATCTCATTGTCCATGATGTAGTCACGTAAATAGTTTATTGTTTCCCCTAAATGAACATTGGTGAACAACGAGGTCACGCCGTAGACAAACCATTCGTGCGTCGTTGGTATATAAGTTTCACAAACTGGAATGCATCCTTCAGACTCTAGTGTGAAATGTATCTGCGAGCGGGTTCCAAAACATCCACCAACCATTGGGTAACCGAATGGTAAGGAGAAGCGCTCATGTCCAAAGTAGAACTTTGGTGGTGACCGTCCTCCTGTCGACCGGCAAAAGAATCGCTTGTTGGAACAGCATCAAATGTAATGTTAACAGTACCTTCTAAAGTGCATTAGAAAAGTAAAATCCATGCTAAATTAAAGGGAAAGCGAAAAATTGCTTGTCTATTTTCGGATTGTGAATTTTTAAACTTGTGGTAGAACCCTTGTATCAGTCCGATCTGCTCCGAGATTTCCAGATTTCATTGTTTTCATTAGTTTAAAAACCTTATTACATACCACGCTTCTTTCACTTTTTCAAATGACTGCATGTATCTGGATGCTTGTTGTTCTCTGCTGCACATCTTTTGAGATTATCATTTTTTCTTGTTCCCCCGCCCCCTATTAATCGTTTCGTGTTACCTCAGGAAATGTCAGCGTTTGCACTCTATCTGCAAGGCGCAACAAGTCAACGCCAATACTCTTACCATTATGTGGATTCATCCGTGACCATATATCTTCAGAACTGTCAGTAAGTTTACCGGATGTGGCAGTCATTATTGAATCTGTTTTAAATGTGGATCTGAAATTTGATGTGTATGTGAGTTGGCAACTGATTATGTCTAACGACGTTACACTGTCTGGTTCTTTCTACTAGGAGCTTGGTTTATAGAACTGGTGATGAAACGAGAGTCAACGGTGTTTCTCACTGTACCTTTCGATTGACGGACGATAACCAGTGACTTTCTGTTTTCGGCAACCGTTGTCTGCGCAACATCGCTCGCGTATGATGGAAACATCGCATGAGTACTGATGCGGTCAAACCACGTATATATACATATGTCAGATAGTTTTCCCTTGAGCAAAAGGTGGTTGGGATCACGCCCTACGAAAGTCCACCCTACTCTGCGCTATTTGCCAACACTGGATCGAACAGTAAGAAGAAGCAACTACGCGGGTCGGCTCTGATCTGAAGTAGAAGGTTAAATAGATTATGTTCGTACTTGGTTTCCCTCGGGGCATCCCGAATTCGAAGTGAATGCTTTAGATAGACTTTGGATAGACAGCCAGTCCATTGCAGAATCAAATGATATGATTCAATATTTTATAGGTGGGTTAGATGCTACTAACCGTAACAAACGTGACTTGATAGTCTTTTTAGAATAATAATGATAATAATAAGTAGTATGTAAACGACTGGACAAAATTTCCCTGGAAACATACGACCGGTTTCGCGGTTCTTGCCGCTCGTCAGGCATGCGTATCCGGTAATCTTTTGTCAGTTCATTCATATACTTATTCCCATGGAGCGTATTCTCGTCACAATAACCTTGTATGCAACACCCGGTTTCCCACATTAACATGTTTTTCTGTAATGCGACATCGTTTTACCACTGATGTTCGTTTCGTAATAGACAATGTATCATAAAAAGCCCTAAGAGGTTTGATTCCAAAGAGTGATTTTGAATAGATAGCAGGAGAAAAGCGTTTCAGTTCGCAGTATATATATACCACATTTGCCTGTCCTGTCAGAGATATGGAACATGCGAAAGGCGCACTTGATAGATTAACAAACTCTGTTGATTATTGACAACGAAGATGTATGTGTGTGGCGGGGTAGAGGTTGATCGCGTAGTTTTTCGTGGTTTGGCGCGGGTGGAATACAACTATCGGGTGGACAAGATCTGAACTACCCATCATGTATTTCGGCATATCACATCGAAAGTTCGGAATTGCAATTGTTAAACATGAGTAAACTTCGCCAAACAGTGTTCTGTGAAAGTTAACAAACATTTAAAAAGAAATCAGTCTGAATTATGAGGATTAAATGAACTCTACAGAGGCGTGCTAATAAGCGGTTTCACCTTCTTCAACTCATTTACATCCCTGAGCTCTTGCCGCCACCCATGTAGCTCCCGGTTACAGGTCTCAAGTTTTGAGCTATCGGTTTTGGTAACATAGCGGTTGGTAAGTTTACCTTTACTTTTCATCATACTGAAATTTATGTTTGAAAAGAAAGATCCTATTCTTAGTTCTTGCGGCTGTAAAGAAAGCATGTGGAGATAGGCACTTTTGACATGAATAGAAACTACCATGAAACGGTTCGGTGTTAATGGGTAGTTTGTATGATGACACTGTGTTTAAGCATCGTATAGCAAACAAAGATATATGGTTGTCAGCAGTCGAGGTTAAACAACTAAAAGTTAATAGATAACTAGACTGTTGTTGCGACGCAGTATGCGTGTTCTGAGCGGCGAGAAAAAACGACTACGTATGATTTTACAAACTGCATAAAATTCATCCTGTTCTTTACGAGCAGATGTGCTTACCCCATTACTCTTCTGTGCCTGTCTTCGATTACGTAGATCTTGCTTTTCGCGCATTTAATTCTAATTTTCCGGTTTTTGTTTTTCGTCTCGTTTTAGCTTCATCTCTAATTATTTTCGTCGGGCAATGGGTTGGTTAGGGATAGTTTAAAATATTGCTTTCATCTCTTTTTGTTCCTGAGCGCCACCTTGGTCCTTCTCATGTACCTTCGTTTCGCACCATTCCAGATCAGCGGAATTGGCTTTGCGTGCGACTTTGGTGAATGCGGAGGCCTTGTGCAGTCGTGGACTCTATGCAGAAGCCGCAATGAGTCTTTTGAGACTAACATCACAAGTGAGTCTCATCATACTTTCTTTATTGATCGGTCCTGTTCAGAGTAATGGGTTTCCCTAGGAATGATTTATGGTATCACACGCAAACTACTCCATACAGCTTTTCGCTGAACTAACATACGTCTTTGCTCTCAATAGTTGTCATTTACTTGCGCAACATGTTAGCTTTTTCAACGATCACTCCCCTCTTCATGAATATGCTAGACGGGGTTTTTCGCCTATGTGCAAGATCCTCTAATCTGC